CTTCCTTAAGTTTTATCAATGAGTGTACAATTAGAAGTCGAATGCAAATACCAAAATAAACTACACCATAATATATGGTTGGAGAACGATGAATCTAAAGAGACGTCAACTACCTCTGTATCCCAAAAAGAAAGATTTATAAGGAGGGAGGATAAGCAAGAGTTGTACAGGACATCGAAGAATGATCACATCATTATCATCCTGCATTCCCGTCTCGCAAGTGTCCTCTAAACGTCTGGACCATAAATATCAGAGATTGGGAAAGTGGGAGATTTGTTGATGTCTTGGCCAATCAGGTCTTATTGCCTGAAGTACTTCTGGTACTTGGAGTTCTTTCCTCAGAAAACTGTGTCAATACATTGGCACAGAACTTGAAGGCATTTACTACGATTTTAAGAGGTTTCGAATTTCTTGAACATTCATTTTGGGCATTCGCAAAAATATGGTCTGTGTGACTGTTTTGTTTGGGGAAAAACCTAGACGTCCTATAGGTTGTGTTTTCAACTTCTTTTCTTCCAAGACTAACCTTTCCAATACATTGGCTCATATGCTGAAGGTATTCACTACGATTTTAAGAGGATCCAAAATTCTTGAACATTCTATTTTGGGCATTGTCGAAAATATAGTCTGTGACTTTTTATTTTTTTCTAAACATCCCACAGGCTATTTATGTACAGTAAACTTCTTTTCTTCCAAGACTGAGATTTTTAAAATGATTCAAAATTCTTTAACATTCTCTTTTGTACATTGTCGAAAATATGGTCTGTTTGTGACTGTGTTTCTTTTTTTTCTAGACATCCTGAAGGTTATGTATAGTCAACTTTTTTATTCCAAGACTAATCCTTTCAATACATTGGCACATATACTGAAGGTATTTACTACTATTTAAAGAGAATTCAAAATTCTTGAACTTTATTTTGCGCATTGTCCAAAATATGGTCTGTGTATGTTTTCCTTTTTTCTAGACATCCTGAAGGTTACGCATAGTCAACTTCTTTTATTCCAAGACTAATCCTTCCAATACATTGGTACATATACTGAAGCTATTTACAGCGATTTTAAAATAATTCAAAATTCTTGAACATTCTCTTTTGTGCATTGTTGAAAATATGGTCAGTGTGTGTTTTCCTTTCCCCCCCCCCCAGACATCCTGCAGGTTACGCATAGTCAACTTCTTTTCTTTGAAAACTAATTCTTTCAATACATTGGTACATATACTGAAGCTATTTACAGCGATTTTAAGAGGATTAAAAATTCTTGAACATTATATTTTGTGCATTTTTTGGCGAAAATATGATCTGTGACTTTTTATTTTCTTCTATACATCCCCCAGATTTGAAAATGTCTTCTTTTCCTCTAAGACTAACCCTTCCAATACATTGGCACATACACTAAAGCTACTTATACTTGGGATTTTAAGAATATTAAAAATTCTTGAACATTATATTTTGTGCATTTTGGCGAAAATATGGTCTGTGATTTTTTATTTTCTTTTAGACATCCTCCAGATTTGAAAATGTCTTATTTTCTTCCACGACTAACCCTTCCAATACATTGGCACATACACTAAAGCTATTTACTTGCGATTTTAATATGATTCAACATTTTTGAACATTATATTTTGTGAAAATAGAAGAAATGTGATATTGTACTGGGATTAGGTTCCTAAATTAAGAATATTATTATCTTAATAATAATAAAACTATTATCTTTTGTGCATTGTCGAAAATATGGTCTGTGAGTGTTTTTCTTTTTTTCCCCTAGACATCCTGCAGGATATGTACATTCAACTTCTTTTCTTTTAATACTAACTCTTTCATCAATCTTTCTATCATCCTTCCTTCTTTTCTATACTTATTTAATTCTTTCTATTACATCTGAGACTTTTCTTTCTACTAAACATGCGCATTCTAATTCAAATAAGTAGACACTCGGTATCCAGCTATACAATCATGGTACATGTAACAACTGTAATAATTATGAAACACATCAAGATATCTTTTATATATCTTGAGAGAGACATTTCACTATTGTTTTCTTCTTCTTTTGTACGCTCTATTGACCTGGAGGACGACACCCTGGCCATCCTGGCGTCTGCCAAGACAGGCATCTATAAGCACTTTCTGGCCATGGAGATACGAAGGGTCTAAGAAGACCCCCATCTGGTCTGGAGGAGGACCATATCAAGATGGTGGAGTCTCCCTAGCTCATAAATCATTGTAAATTCTCATTACTTTTCATTCATTTAAAATGTATTATTGACTAGATATCAATAAAATTGTTTCAATAGTTAATAGAACTACAATAACTTTGAAATTTAAGATAGAATTAAATGAGTTTTTCAACGGTCTTATAC